CCAACACCCAAGGTTTGCTTATATTTCCCACAGGATGAGGAGCAAAACAACAACAGAAGCCTTTCCCCCTTCACGGTGTGCATTCCCCCTAAAGATTCGCAGAGAATTTACAGTCAAAATAAAGAGTAACGCTTGGTTAATGCTTTCCAACTTACAGATCACATGCATTATCTCATACGTCTCTCACAAATAACAACCTGGAAGACATATAATTATGCCAAACTCTAAAGGGACCATGGCTTGAAGGTTAAACTTGCAGACTCTGGATCCAGAACACACTGCCATGGATCCCAGATCACCTGTTTCCTACTTATTTGAACTTGGATAAGTTTGCATGCTTCAATCAGGTTCAAAAGCAGGGCAAATGAGAGTATTCACTTCATAGACTGATTATAGGAATTAAAAACTAATCCATATAAATTGTTTAGAATAGTTTGTGGTACATGAAAGGTGCTGAGAAAAATTAGAACTATTATTATTTTACAAAAGATGACATTGAGGCTCAAATAATGACAATGACAACATTGACTTCTCCAAGATAGTACAAGTGGTCATTGGTGACACTCAACCAGAGCCCTAGAACTGCTGAAGATTTATCCATGTCACCAGAAAGCATTCCAGCAACACTCCATTTTTAATGTGCATAAGCATCACACTTTGAAGTAATGGAGATGCTTGGGAAGTCTGGCGTAGGACTATGCAGTACCAACCCGTGCTGTTCATGCTCAAGAAACTCCAACTGCTGGACTGTCTGCTCAGGCAACTAGCAGATTCCTTGCAGAATCAGTTAACCACCTCTACATAAGGTCTGGAGTAGCTGGTTTGGCTGGACCATGAAAAGTTAAGGAACGGCTGCCCTGGGCGTAAACAAAGCCACATTTTTTGCCTTGTCCCATGTGCATCCCTTACTGCAACCAAGAGAACTTACTTGTATTATTATTATTCCTTGAACTTGCTGTGCTTCTCATGTCTCTGGAAAATATTCCATTTCATATGCTCCATTTCATATTATTGTTCTGTTTACCTTTAAGAATAAGTTGTAGTTTGTATTTTCCAATCTTCTGAGAACCCTTTCCTTATCTCCTGGCATGGCACAGATAACCCAGTTTTCTTTTCAGACAGAAGCTCCCTCCATCAAAGCACTTGTGAGCTTTATAATCCCATTATAATCACGGGATTCCTGGTCTCTATTTACCATTACCCTAAGGATACCATATTTGTTTTAGTCTGGGTGTGTGCAGTACTTACCATATAGCCTGGTGTGTAAATATTTACTGACTAACTGGAAGACTGACTAGAGAAGAAAGAAAGGGAAAGGAAAGGAAAATAACATGTGAATAATAAAAAAAGAAAACCTCAGAGTCTTAGCATCCAATCATTAGGCACATTATTTAACCTGACTTATAATTTAACTGGCCAGAGAAAGGAAAGATGGGATAAGTGATGAGCGAAAAAGGTGTGATTTGTGTGTGATATTAGTCAGTTAATAAAGCTCCGAGTTGTTCCGCCTGGATCCATAAAATTAAAAAGGAAAGAAAATTTCACCACCAGCTGTCTTGCCTGATTTGCATGCGTTCAAATCTTCAAAGTATTCCTTTTGATTCCTTTAATCAATAGCTATTTTAGAAAGTTCTTCATTACTTCCTAATTGTCAAAATTCATTCCATTCATTTTTCCTTATTAGAAGGAGATTTTTCAAATGAGTTAAGTAGATCAGCAATTTTAGAATCATTATTAACTTCAAGCTTTTCATTCAGTTATTAGCTTGTCCCTTCTCTCTCTAGGACGAGATTCTTTTCTTCATTTTTAAAAGGCCATCTGTTTCATTTTACAGACTTCTTTTTCCCTGTGTCTCAAATAAAGTCAACTTTACCCTATACTAAGAGCAATCCATGTTTACAATAACTGATCTTCAGCTCTTTAATTTCTCGGATCTCTGGTTTTGGATGAAGATGCAAGTGATTCCCTATTATGCCAGCATGCCAAAAAAACAATAATTAGCATTCATCTAGATTTTGATCTGTCCAAACCAAATAAACTGGTAAAGCCATTACCATGGCCCACAAAACATTTTACAAATAATTTAAATAAATGTTGAACATATATTCACTGATAACCCCAACAATCTCACTGCTAGGACTCTGAATCACAGACATAGAAGCACCACATTATTGCACCCTGATTGTTGTACCAACGAACTGGAAACAAAATGTCCACCAATAAATGAGGGTTAAAAATGTATGGTGCATCAATACCATGGAATATGATGCAGCTATACATTTGATTCCATGAGCCTTGTGAAATATAAAAGAGTATTCAGCAGGTTGTTAAAGGGGAGGAGAGGGAAGAGGAAGTTAGAGAGGAAGAGGACAGAAGAGGAGGGTAAGAAAAAAAGTGAGGTATTCATGACAAAACAGTGTATAGAAGGTAATCTCATGTAAAATTGCTTATGTGTGTATGAATATAAATAAACATATACAAAAGCAAGCTACATGGTTACTGAGGGAGATAGGACTGTGCATTTTTACTTTCTTATACTCATTACTATCAATTTTTTATATTTGAATTTTTTATTTGAATTATTTTCTATCACTTGAATTATTATTTATATAATGTGAAAAACAGCATTGGATAACAGACATGATAGGTAGCATCTCCAGACTACAATCAACCTGCTTGACAGAGTATGTGTCTTATCAATAATATTCTTTTTAAAAACAACCTCTGCTGATTTTCATTTTTAATGCATATTCATGACTCAGCTGTTATTCCTTCTTAACTGGGTTTTCCAATTGCCATATATTTGATTTCCTAGGAAATCTCCAAAATTCTTCCATTACATACTTTGTAATATCTCATTTTGCTGGATGAAATATGATACCTTGTAGGAAATGCCTGAATTCCTACTTCAGGATGTATATCCAGCAGGACTTATCCATTTTTCTTTTAAAATTCAACAGAAGGCCCATGGTGACAAAAATAAAAAACCGTCAAAGTCTAAAGATAAACACACTTGGACAAGGATACTAAAAATGCACTGCATACTCCTGAGAGGTATTTTGTATAGCTGATCTATCATGACTCCTAGGACTTTGGAGAGTACAAAAAAACTTGTGGAAAAGACAAGCTGATTCTGCCTATGTTTGAAATAACCCCGTATTTTCACCAACCCAAAATTGAAGCCTATGAAATTTAGTACTTCAATTTCAGAAAGCACTATAATGACTTTGGTAGATAAAAGTTCTGAAGAAATTTGAATAATCAAAATATTCAAATACTGATGTAGAAAATCAAGAATACATTAGTCTAGGTATAATTTCTAGGCCATTACCATTACCATGTGTTTCTTTAATTAGCTTTCCCCTCAGGAACTTGATGTTTTGAAAGATGTGCCCCACCAAAACCAATGAATTACTAAAGTAATAATTAATTTTTTTAAAAAGTCTAATGAATCAATGACATGTGTAATTGCCCATCACAGCTACTGAGCAAGATGAGGAAACCGGTGCTGCACATGTAGTTGACACAATTTATTTAGAGGCAAATAATCTGTGGTCATGGATCGATGTATTATTTCTGTTAGCTTCTTAAAAATAATGGGAACAGATGAAGACACACCCTAGAGCTCAACGTGTCCACTGATTTTGGTCTCAGGATTGGAATTTCTCAGTCACAGAATAAATTGGGGTTAAAAATCAGCTATATCTTAATTCACAAATGTGTGGTGTGTGTGTTTTTAAGCAAAGGATTAATTTACAAGAAGAATAGCTGTGAGGTGACTCATCCAAATTTTAAGCCTTAACCTAACGCCACGGGCAGAGGAGACAAATGGACAGGTGTGATGAGCTTTCAGCAACCTTTCAATTTCACTTACAAAGACTCAAGTAATGAACAAGAGAAGGCAACCCTCTCAACAAAGGATAATGAATACAGTATTTTCATTAGCTCTTTACACCTATTTCTTTAACTTCTCTATAAGACCAGTTTTGTTTTGTTTGTCCTGCCCTGAAAAGGTAAATGCAGATGCATTCAGGTTCTCTGGCGACTAGAATCAGACAACCAAGTCAAAAAACAAATCCTTTTGGAAGCACTGGCTTTCATGGCAGATGCAGGAAAGGATAAATCATTGACCATCATGAGATTTTCCTGCACAAGAAAAATGCCCGTGTCCAACATTGACAATTGATGAAGTGCCAACCTTGTGGACTGGTTATCAAGTTTTGAAAATTTGAGAGTTAGGCAAGTGTTTTTCTTTTTTTAAAATAAAGGGAACAAAAGTAGTAAATATCACATCACACCGAATTTGCATTAACCCCACTCTGTTCATTCACAAACCACAGAGATCTTACAGAAAAGTACTGTCCCAGCACTTTCAACCCATGGCTCCATTAAAGATTTAACATCTGAGGTTAGAATGGGGTTTTCTTATTAAGCTGCCATTTCCTTCATAAAACAGACCATTTTGTACTTACTGCAACCTTTTGAACTCTTACAGTGAATAATTAAACCTATACTGCAAAGCATAATTTGTGATGCTGAATATCCTGTAGGTTGTAGGTTTTTGCTTAGTGGCTCATTTTAAATGCTCACCGATCAATCCCCAGAGGGACAATCCGGCCATTCGTCTGAATCGACAAAATTGGCTAGTGGACCCCGCAAGCAAAGCAGACAACTCCCAATCATAATACAGACCGTCTTCAACTTAGGATGGCTCGACCTGCAAATTTTTTCTACTTTACAAAGGTACAAAAAGCAATATCCATTCAGCAGATACCGAACCTAGAATTTTGAATTTTGATCTTTTCTTGAGCTAGCGACATGTGGTATGATACTCCCTTGCAATGTTGGGCAGCAGCAGCAAGCCATGTGCACTCACCAGGGTAGACAACCCATACTTACAGTGTAGTCCTGAATGCATTTTCCACTTAGGAGGGTTTATTGGGACACATCTCCATCATAAATCAAGGAGCATCTGTAAAACGGTCTTTTTGGTGACTCACCATATTGACAGTGGGGTCCCTGAAAACCCTCGGAACACTGGCACCGCTGGGCTTCACTGTCTGGGCATCTCCTTCCATGGAAACACGTTGCCACTGCAGAGACAGCTAGAAGGAAGGTAGATGAGGGCAGATGAAGAATGGGGTTGAGGAAAAGAAAGGAAATCCTCAATGTAAGCATCAAGTTGCTAATATAAATATAATAGAGGGCGGGGGAGCAGGGGGTGGGAATGATTAACCGGGAACTTACATGCATATATGCATAGCCCTTGGACAAAGACAATAGAGTGGCAAAGGCCTTGGGGGGCAGGTGCTGGGCAGAGGGAGTCAATGGGGAAAAACAAAGGGGACATCTTTAATACTTTCAACAATAAAGATAGATTTAAAGTAAATAAATAATAAGTAAATACAATTTAGAAATTTCCACCGGCCCCTCCACAGCAAGGTGAACCAGTTTTCATTGCAAGTTAAGGCCTTGCTCCCTACAGCCTGTAGCACTCTGTATGTGGCCTCACCTCGAAGCTTGTAGAAATGCAGAATCTCAGGCCTCACCCCAGACCTACTGAACCAGAATCCACATTTTAAAAAGATACGAGGTGATGTCTGCCCTAGCTGGTTTGGCTCAGTGGATGGAGCGTCGGCCTGCGGACTGAGGGGTCCCAGGTTTGATTCTGGTCAGGGGCACATGCCCGCGTTGCAGGCTCGATCCCCAGTGTGGGGCATGCAGGAGGCAGCCAATCAATGATTCTCTCTCATCACTGATGTTTCTATCTCTCTCTTCCTCTCCCTTCATCTCTGAAAAAGAAATTTTTTAAAATAAATAAATAAATAAAAAGAAAAAGATACGAGGTGATGTGAATTCAAGTTTGAGTATCACTAGTGTAAAGAAACTCTATAAATAAGATTAAAAAAAACAGTCTAAAAATAAAGCAAGGAATACCAATACTTCCTGAGGCAAAGAACTGTGATAGGTATCTATAACAGTTTAAAGAGTTCATCTCACAGTCATCAATTTCCAGGAGTTTATAAAATAGAGTGACATCGGGGGCAGATGCCTGTCACTGAGCTAGACCAGTTAGCTGCAGTGGCCTAGCACTGCATGCAAATACAGTAACCGCTAACACTGAGCCTGCTTAACATGGGAAGCCTGAGGCCCCTCACTAAGATATTTGAGAGCAGAAAGCACAGTGGGGAAGGAAGCAGGATGCTGACAAACTCCCTAAGGTACAGGGTAGCAGGAGAGATCAATTATTGTGCTGTGGTGCTGCATTGATTGCAACACGCTGAAGCATTCTAAGTGACTTTGCAATAACCAGAAACACATAGGTAAATGGAGCCATTTCTCCTGGCAAGATTGGGAGACATAATGCCACTAGTTCTGCTGTTTGCGTGCTGTCAAACATGCTGGAAGGTTCTGGGATACTTTCCCCACACGTTTGTGCAAGGACTGCATAGCTCATCTTAAAAAGTAAACTGCCTGCAGAGTTCCGCAATTAATCATGACATGTACAGGTTGAGAAATCCCATTTAGATTTAGTACGGTGATTTCCCTCCGGACTTCTGAATCCACTGTGGATTACAAATTTGATGATATGGGAAAGGGGCAAATGGAAAAGTCCGGACTTCTGAATCCACTGTGGATTACAAATTTGATATGGGAAAGGGGCAAATGGAAAAAGGTGATGGAAGTCAAGGTGTAACTGGCTGGCTTTAAATAAACTGTCTTTTAAATAAAGAGACAGAATGTAAAGCGGCAGTTCTACGGGATTTGAGTTCTGACCTATCATTAGAAACGCTTAACAGAAAAGCTTTTTTTGCATTTTTGCACATGTCACGTGTGCATTTTCAGCCCAAAGAGATGCTCCAAATCTGTGGTGATTCTAAAGATGCCTAACCCTTGACAGGCATGATATGATTGAAGCCCCAAGCAGAGTGAAACCATTACTTCAAGTGACAGAGAGTTAGACAGGAAGAATTATAACTTACAGCGCAGGCAGCCCGGTTCATCGTCCTGCCGGCGCCAACCAGGGCAGCACCTGTAGACGGTCTGCTGCTCCATGCTGTATGCCTGTCTGTACACGGTGTAGTACCGGGTCCTATGGAACACAGGGATCTAGATCATACTTCCTCTTACGGCAAAGCTGTCATCTTAAGCCCACTAAAAATTCTCCCTCCAACCCCAATCCTGTCATTTATACGCACAATATACATGTATATTATTTACATGTATTATACACACATGCACATGTGTGTGCGCACAAGAGAAACCCTCATGCCCCAGGTGATAAGCTATTTTAAGGGTCACTCAAGCTATCAAGATTGAAACCCAAAATTATGAAATGCATAATGAAATTGTGATGGATAAGAAGGCACATGCTTTTTCAACTTGACAATGAAGGCCCCTCATAGACTGGTCCCCCTAGAGCAGTGATGGCGAACCTATGACACGCGTGTGAACTCATTTTTTTGGTTGATTTTTCTTTGTTAAATGGCATTTAAATATATAAAATAAATATCAAAAATATAAATCTTTGTTTTACTATGGTTGCAAATATCAAAAAATTTCTATATGTGACACGGCACCAGAGTTAAGTTAGGGTTTTTCAAAATGCTGACACGCCGAGCTCAAAAGGTTCGCCATCACTGACCTAAGGCATGTGCAAGAATATTCCCAGCAGTACTATTCACAATAGCCCCAAACTGGAACCAACCCAGATACCATCAGCAGGAGGGCATATAAATAATGTACATGTCTTCACACAACTCAACACAACAAAGTAAGAAAATAATAAACTACTGTGGTAGGTCACAGGTGTTAGTTCTCACCTACCAAGAACAAGTTCCTCATGTTGTGGTGACCCCCAACCATAAAATTATTTTTGTTGCTACTTCATAACTGTAATTTTGCTACTGTTATGAATCATAATGTAAATATCTGATATGCAGGATGTATTTTCATTGTTACAAATTGAACATAATTAAAGCATAGTGATTAATCACAAAAACAATACATAATTATATATGATTTTTCTGATGGTCTTAGGCGACCCCTGTGAAAGGGTCATTCGACCCCCAAAGGGGTCTCGACCCACAGGTTGAGAACCGCTGCCCTAGCGCATGCATTCTCAACACTGGTGATATCATCAAGGGGGCAACAATTGGTTCTTGGATGGAAAAAAATTTTAGCTAATACACAGGTCCTATAAAGGACCATAGTACACAAACAAATAAAGTACACCTGTGCTATTAAAAAACTTCATGAAATAGGGGGATGATTACGAAAAATTTTTTAAAAATTACAGAGGCTCCTTAGGGGAACAATAATGTACAAAGGTTGCAAACACTAAACTATAGCTATTCATGATGACCTCTTTTTTTATTATTAAATTTATTGGGATGACATTGGTCCACATGAACATGTAGTTTTCAGGTGTGGGTTTCCATGTTATAAGATCTGGGGTCCTAATATATGGCGACAGGAGAAGACTTGACTTTGGGTGGTGAGCACATTGTGCTGACCTCTTCATACACTACAATACCAAACACCTCTAAACTGGCTAATTTCTTTTTTATCAAGTCCATATCATATTTATTCTTTATGTCAAAAGTATAACATATTCTCTCTCCTTTATTAACCTATCCCCAAGTCCCCTTCATTATTCAGAGCCAATTTCAAGTTACACTTCCTCCAACTTCTCTTTCCCCACCTTTCCAAATGCATATTGCTCTCTCAAAAATAGGACTAAGTGGCCATGTCACTTTTTGTGACAGTTACTCACCATCTTGAAGTGTAACCTAATATTTTGTATGTGTATTTCTCTAATAGGGATATAAGTATAGGTTTGCATACTTGTATATCAAAAAAAGGGAAATTAGTTGGCAGAGATACCAAAACACTGCCTCAACTCTAAAGCCAATGTCATAAATATTTACTTAATAGAGAAATGCATAAAATGGGTACCCAGCAGCATGACGCATGTGTTAAATATGCCATACCATGCCTGGTATTATTTTTTTTCTAACTTTACACACTGATGCACACAGAAATTTAGGAACTTTGCCTAGGGCCATACAGCTGATAAGAGCCAGGGGAAGTTTTCCAATTTAAATTTCATTTAAAGGTCCTAAGCATTTTTTTTCTAACTTTACACACTGATGCACACAGAAATATAGGAACTTTGCCTAGGGCCATACAGCTGATAGAGCCAGGGGAAGTTCTCCAATTTAAATTTCATTTAAAGGTCCTAAGCATAGAGCTAAAAAAGACTATACATATAAAAGTTAAACACACACACACACAGAGACATGAGTGTGTATATACAATGTATATGTAAATATCCATAATAATAAAATATTTAGTCTTATAATATTTTATTTAGTCCTATATTATCAGTGTTCTGATATTTCTACACAACAGCAAATCCAGTTATGTATAAATGTCCTCAACTTTCCTTTGACAGTAGTAATAATAATAATAATAAATTTATTAATCTGAAGCCATACTTTTTTAAAAACTTGAATTCTGACACAGTTGATTCGTTTACCTAAAACACCCCATTAACAACTATTTGTATTAAGGGGTACCTAGATGTTTTGTAAAACTATCTTAAAACTCTTTTTTCAGAAGGCCATAGGAAGGCTTGATGCATAGAAAACACCAGGTACTTGCTTTTTCTCTCCTCTCCCAACCTGCCTAGTTAATCCTAATTCAAAGGCCATACTCAAGTCAAAGGAGCTCTGGGTTTCAAAGTGTGAGACGAGAACCCAGGGCAGATCAGATAGTCTTTCACAACTGCGGGCACCCCAGATCCAAGTCTTGCTAAATGTAGCAAACCCACACAATATTCCTTGTTTCTGTTCGTCTTCTGATCTTCAGCTTTCAATAGTCTGTCATGTCATGTGGTAAAATTCATAGCATCAGACCCAAAGGACCTCATACATAAATGAGGCCAAAAGTAGATTAATAATAGATCCTGTCTCTGAAGGAAAATATAGAACTCTGCAAGTTCAGGTTCATATCTTGTGTGTGTTTACTTCAATATATAATGATTTTCTAAAATGTATTGGGGAAATCTTTAGATGCAGGTGAGGCTTTTGCTTTTGATTTTTAGTGTCAAAAGGAGTAGCGGAAGCACCGTTACCTTCTTTCATAACCCACACACCATCTCCGGCCGGCACAGCCCTGTGTCCAGAGCTTGACGGTGTATGTGAATGCTCGGACACATGGGCGTGGAAGGCCCACCACGGTCAGCTGCTGCTCTTCACACACATTAGGCCTTGAAAATAAAAAAGTGGTGATGAGATAAAAATAGATTGTTTCTCAATGTTTTATACATGAATCATTCATTCCTCCACTTTCCACAAAAAGCGTGTGGTGACTTACATCAGTACATAAAGTAAGAGAGAAAAATACAGGCAATAAAAATACAGGCAATATAAAAAAATTCAGGCCGAGGAAAAAGAAAAATCAGAGTAGATTTTTAAATAAAAGAGAAACTCAGAAGATAAATATAAAAGCCATAAGTTTCCATGTGCTTAAAAAAAACGAGCTGCAAATTAATTCTGAGCTATTCAGTAGACAAAAGTAAAAAACAACCGGAACTGCATGCTACCCATGATTGCATCCACAATGTCCATGAAGAAAAGGCAAGCCGATTCATGAAGAAAAGTCAAATTTTTCCTAGAAATTACTTCTGAACAGTAATTGCCATTGTATTTAGTTAGTTCAGCTTCACACACAATGCCTGTTTCAACACAAATATTCTGCAACCAGTACCATTAGATTAGTATTTCCTTACAGGAAGTGCATACAAATTTACAGGATGAGACACATGATCTTTAACTTTTAAATGTATAGGGCTAGGATACACTGATCACCTGAAGTGTTATAAAAGCAAGCTGGCCCGACCACTCATATTCTCCATGATTCACAGCCACCTGCATGCCAGGCACTGACCTCACTGGAGTCAGACTTTGATGGTTTTTCTTGCTATCAAGAAACACAGTTAGCTCAGTCTCCATACTCATGATCTGCTCAAAATAGAAATGCTCTCTGATTCAGGAGTTCGAGCTGGTTCCCAAATAACTCTGTGAACTTAGCCAATGACAGAACAATAATAATGATGAAACCTCTAATAGCAATCCGCACACTGAAATCAGTTTCATCTATGTCACCTACATCCTAGATCACCTTTTTGCGATCACTTCTTTATGTGGCTCTGACTAAATCTCACCAGTTGATCTCTACACAGCCCAATTCTCACTTCCAGATATTGGACTGTTAATGTCACCTAAATTGAAAAAAAGAATGAATGTTGAACTTCAAGAGTTTGCACAATGCACTTTAATTATTTAAGCAAATACTGTAATTCTATATAATAAAAGGCTAATATGCAAATCGACCAAACCACAGAACAACCAGTTGCTATGACACACACTGACCACCTGGGGGCAAACACTCAATGCAGGAGCTGCCCCCTGGTGGTCAGTGTGCTTCCACAGTGGGAGCACTGCTCAGCCAGAAGGCAGGCTCACAGCTGGCGAGTGCAGTGGTGGTGGCAGGAGCCTCTCCCACCTCTGTGGCAGTGTTAAGAATGTTTAAGCTTAGGTGAACCTAAGCCATCAGTCAGACATTCCCTGAGGGCTTCTGGACTGCGAAAGGGCGCAGGCCGGGCTGAGGGACACCCCTCTCCTCCAGAGCACAAATTTCGTGCACTGGGCCTCTAATAAAATAATAAATGTAAAAACTGCACGTAAGTCAAGCATCCATAAAATCTTTAAGAATTGGGTGTAAAGAAAACATTAGCTATTAAAAATTCCATATTAGATTCTCTGCCTATACCTACACCTTTAGTGAGCTTACATGCTTTTTTGTGAGCCAACTAGCCCCAGTTAGGATGAGTTTACAGCACCTCTGCTTTTTCAGTCAATAGTTCCAAAACTTACACTGATCCAGCCTTGAGCTCCATTTTGCAATCTATTCTTTACTTATTATTCCATCCACCCATCCACCCACCCATCTATCCATGAACTCATAAACTGTCACCTACACAAGACAGAAGCAGCACAACCCTCCCTCACCCCCCAAGAACTTGAATGTAAGCCATTTATTTGGGAGTGATGAAATCAGACTGGGAAGGAGAATTAGCCAACAATAAAAGAATTAGCCCTCATTCATTCGTTGAGGGCTACTTTCTTTCCAGCATTTCAGGCTGAAGCATGGGTAGGCAGTGTTAGCCTCCAAAAGACGAAGTCTTCAGGCAAAGAAAGGCCAATGCTGGCTGCTGAAAGCCTGGCAGGTGTGCGGAGGGAAAGGGCAGGGGCATGGGTGCTGCTGGACAGTTTCCACTGCAGGTGGTACAAACATAAGAAAGTCCATATTCACTTAGCATTGACAACCTACAGACAAGAGAGAGAGAGAATGAAGGCACTGAATGCGTACAAAACGCTAAGAAGAAGCAATGAGAAGGCCCAAATGGAGAGAGGGGAGGCTTACTAAGATTCATTGATTAGGAAAGGCCTCACTGAAGAAGTGACACTGTGACCTGAAAGGGTCAAGAGAAGCCATCCATGGAAAAGCCAGGGGATGCCATTCAGGTGGAAGAAAGAGAATGAGGCTCTGAAGCGGGGAAACGCTTGGCCTCCAGAGAGTCTGAAAGGCCAAACTGGCTCAAATGATGAGATGCTTGGTTGGGCAGAAAGGGCTTCTCGGGTCAGGAGTGTTGATTTTATTCTCAGGGCACTGGAAACCACCAAGGGTTTTTAGAATTCTGATTTCTGGCCTCGTTTCCTACAGCCAGGACCTGGAGATGGCCTTGTGATACTCTCTCTCTGACACCATCTTGAAATGACTTAGGTTAAATCTGCTCCTGGACACTACAAGGAATAGCCCAGCCCCGTCCAGCCTGGCTTCCAAGCCCCTAAAGTCCTCCATTGCCCCCTTGGGTTTTCCTGATTCCTGCAGAGAAAGAAGTCCTCAAGGGAAACCTGTACCTTTAGAGAAACCTGAAGCCAGCAGCACCGATGGACATGGAAAGGCACAGCACAAATTGCAGGCATTACAAGAGGAGTGTACTAGACTAACGTGTCTAGAAAAGTATCTGTAATCCAGATCACCATGTAATTTCTCTGATAACATCATAAGAGATGTTAATGTGACTTCAGAACGGCACAAATTATATTTACTCATCCTAGTTAATGAGCAACATAGTTTAGATTGAAGTAAGTTTTCATTTTAGGTTAACCCATCCTAGGGAATGTTTAAGCACATTTGGATAAATAAAGGCAGTTGCTTGATTATTCTGCAGGTGTCCTAAATATATTTTAATAAAGAAATCTATGCCCTTTCTTAACTATGAAAACTATAAATGCTAGTAGTAAAAAAGCCTGAAAAATGGATACAGAAAATCAAGGTTGGCCCCAAAATGCTCCCAGATACAACCACTGCTAATAACAGCTTAATGTATTCAAATCCAATATTTTGGGGGGCACAGAAATATATTTTTGCATAAATAAAATCACACTCTACTTACTATCGTTTAAATTATGAGACAAGCCTTTTTTAAATTTAGGTAAAATTGGAATATAGCATTCCATAGGTGTACAACATTGTTTTTATGTTGTTTGTTCATTTATTTGGGGTTATTTTTAGATTCCACATATGAGTGAAATCAGACAGTATTTTTTCCCTCCATTTGACTTATTTCACTTAGCATGATACCTTCAAGTTCCATCCATGTTGTGACAGGTGACAAAATGTCCTTCTTTTTTATGGTTGAATAGTATTCAGTTGCATATGTACATATCCCACATCTTCTTTATTCATTCATTCATTTATAGACAGACACTTAGGCTTCTTTTATATCTTGGCTATCATAAATAATACTGCAAGGAACATAGGAATGGAGATACCTTTTCTAATTGGTGGTTTGGCATTCTTCAGATAAATACCAAGAAGTGAATGGCTGGATCATACAGTAGTTCTGTTCCTAACTTTTTTAATAATCTCCACACTGTTTTCCATAGTGGCTGCACCATTTACATAACCAACAGTGGAGGAGGGTTCCTTTCTCTCCCTATCCTCACTGACACTATAACAAGTGTTGGTTTGTTTTTTACAATATACAAAATAAATCTAGTGTGTTTTTAACCTAGCAAACAACATGGTATGAATATTTTCCATTTTGAAATACATAGAATTACTTTAACTCTTTTGTTTTCTTTCCAGATTATGGAGTTATCAGAATATTATAACAAATTAATTTAGTCAAGATCCTATTGATAGACATTTCATTTTTTCTAATAGTCTGTGACTATAGACTCTGATGTCAGCCCTCCTGTATAAACAACAGAATTACAGAATTTTTCTTCTAAGATTTTCTTATGAAATATTTATTTCCTCTGAGTCCTTTTAGTTCAGGGTGTTTGTTTGTTTGTTTTCAGCCTCTCTCATCCATGTTTTAGGCTTGGTCAAGAATCAGGTTATCATTGCCTGTTTATACTTAAGTAGGGGGCACTAGAAGCTGATTGAACCTTTGTGTGATAGAAAGAGCTTATAATCGGTGGGCTCTCTGTCAGGTGATTGGGATGATTTTTTTTTCTTTTTTCTTTTTTGAGAAGCTCCTCCATGTCAGTGTACAGAAATCTGGTTTCTAGGGCCATTCAGGTTTTCCAGAAAAGTATCCCCAATCTGCTGCCTGGGGAAGCAGACACCTTGTGGCTAGTGCTTGGGTACCAGGTGGGGGGAAGGGAGCCCTTCTGTTTTCAGACATATGCCCCCCTAAGCAGTGCCAGTCTGCACCCCTTCTGAAGCTTCTCTGCTTCTTGTTCTCCAGAAGAAAAAATCAGTGCTCTCTCTCTCTCTCTCTCTCTCTCTCCCCTTCCTTCTCTCTCTCTCTTTCTCCCCTCCCTTCTCTCTCCCTCCCTCCCTCCCTCTCCCGCTCCCTCCCTCCTGAGAGTGCAGCAGGGCTATTTCTTTGTCCAGCTCTGCAGTTTGGAGGAAGAGATTCAGAGATTGCAACAACTTCACCTGCCTTCCTGCCTTCTTTCAAACAACTCTTTGTCTCCAACCAACACCACCACCACCCCCAACACCCCCGCAGTGCCTCCACTCTAAATGATAAATGTTGCACCTCCTCAGTGTTCCCTGTGCAGGGACCAGCAACCTGCCAGAATGGTATACAGATTACATCAAAGTGAAAGCATCCTGAGCTAAGGATGCAGAAAGAAATCTTATCAGAATGTCCCCTATCTGACTAAAGCAGAGGTTTACTAAAGT